ATAAACATTTTGCAAATTGTAATCAATCGGAACTTCCCGCACCTCCTGATCCTTTGGCTTTCTCACATGACTTCATATGCTTGATTGCCATCCCGAATCCGCCTGAAGCCCCCATGATACATTTTTTTCCGCACCATTTCAAATTGCGTACCACATCCCGGTCTTCGGGTCCTTCTGCTTATCAAAATTATACCGTATAATGACATTTTGATTTTCCATCTTAACTTCTTGGAGAAGAGAATTAGAGAGTAGATATATAATATATTGGAGAATAAGAGAATTAGAGAGTAGAGAGTTAAGAATAGGATTTAGGAAGAATTGGAGAAGAGATGAAAAAATGTTTAAGAGTAGGAGTATTTATAGGTTTTTTTACCCCCACCCCCCACCCCCCCCGGACCCCCCCTTTACCCCACCCAACGGCTATATAGCCGTTTGGGTTGTCCCCAGTCCCACCCCCAAGGCCTCAACGGCTAGTAGCCAAAAAACAAAAAAAAGTTTTTTTTTTAAAAATAGACCCGGGCCCGGGCCCGACCCGGCCAGGCCGGGTCACAAAAATGCTGAACCGAGCCCGCCCCGCCCCTTCCCCCCGGTTCGGGCCCATACCCGGTCCCGGACCGCCCGACCGGGCCGGTCCCGGGCCCGCACAGTACCGGGCCGGGCTGGGTCACGGGCCGGGTGGCCCGAACCGAATCCAACCCTAGCCCGGACCCGGTATCAACCCGGGCTGGTTCCGAGCCCAACATTTTGCAAAAAAAGCCCGCCCGGCCCGGAATCGGAACCGGACCGGCCCGGGTCCATCCCTACCGTAGGTGGGAGCCTTTGTGGCATTGGGGTAAATAAAATGAAATGGAAATGAACCAAATTCAAACTTGTTACTTTGTTAGGGTTTAAAACTATTGATGCTTTCAAGCTTCTTGTTTTTGGGAGGATGGTCTGGAATATGGTGTGGATTTGATTCAATACCGATAGCAAAGAACATTTTGTTTTCTCATCTGCTCGGAGTCTTATCTTCTTGCATTTACTGGGTAAATAAATGGTTGTTGTCCTTTCGGAAATTATCGCTGTAATAGCTTCACCAATTCACCATTAACACTATTATCAACTTCTTTGGACTCACCATAAAGCTGGGGAACATTATCCTCTGATAGTCTGATATCATTGGTACAGCTTGTGTAGGAAAACTGGCTTGACGTGCAAACTCCAGCTTCTCGATCTTCAGAAGTTACTTTCTTAGGATAAAGTAGAACTCGATCAACAACTTTTTTCTTTACAAGCAATAAATTACAGAATTTGGTGAGGGGAGAAGCAAAATATTTTGTTAAGTACACAACAGAAACAAGTTCAGAATTAAGACTTGTTGTATAAAGGGGGAAGTGCACTTGCGTATATGACCTCTCACCTCTCCCATAGATATATATTTTCCTTGCTAAGTAGGAAACTTTTACCATATGCATGAGTAAAGAGCTGCTCAAGACAGTCCATTTAGAAAGAATTTCTAAATAGATGAATAGAGAAGATGTAAAGAGTTGACCAAACATCTTCACATCCATAACCAAGCATTCCAGCTCAGCTGGTTGCGAGGTTACCGTGCCTAGTGGGAGGTCTCGAGTTCGAAACCCGTTAGGCACATAAAAGTTTGAAATTCAATGGAGTGAGTTTCCGTCCTGTTTACTCCTGGCCCCTAGACCCCCTGGATTAAAAAAAACATCTTCACATCCATCAATGCCAGAATAATTCATGAATTCTTAATGGGATGTGAGGATGTTAATGTCCAGACATTCAATTTTTTTTAATCAAATTTTATCTTCTATTCGTGCATCCCTTGTCAGTTTCCTTCTCTCCACCGCAATCATAGAAGTGTCTTGTTGATTTCCTTCTCTCCATCGCAATCATAGAAGTGCAGTGCTGGTTTCTTGCTCACCACCGCAACCAATGAAGAGACGACGATTTCCTTCTCCCCATCGCAATCGAAGAGCACCACATCCACAATTTGATCATTACTTCATAGGGAAAGGGATCATATGCATCTCCATGTAATCAATGGATTCCTACATCTCCACTATCGGTAAAATCGATTGCCTGTATGATCAGCAATAGCATTGCCTGTATGGATTCCATTCCTTATCACAAACGGTAGAGAGCATAAGATTGAGAGAACTGATGCAATTGAAGATAGAGAAATGTAAAAGGGTAGAGGAGAGATTAACTTACAGAAGCTAACAAAGGATTAACGTAAAACAAACACAAAGAAAAAATGGAGCTCACATAGCTTAAATTTATTTACGGATACCTTTCCTTCAATTTTGTTGAAAGTATTGAAGTAATCACATGAAGAATATCCTAAAAAAGTTATCCTAAAAAAAGAATATCCTTAAAAAACATATCCAATCCTCATATTTCGCTTCCAAGAGATAAACATTAGTCATTTGATTAATTATATTATCTCCGACCTACTAATATTGTATCATCTCTTGTTGTAACTTACTCAATATTCTCTCCTTAGAGTTAGACTAGATTTTCTCTCAAAGTTAGACTATAATTCTATCAATAAATAGTTCTAGTTATTGTAATTGGTAATCATTTAATATACACAATTTATATGGTATCAAGAGTGCCGAAGCAAAACTCTACATGACCTTACGGTCTTACCTCTTCATTTTTTCTAGCTATTCTTCTTCTTCCCTACCATGCCTATCACCGTTGCATACACGACCATTGTTCACCTCAACGTTCCGAGCAACTTTGTAAACTCACATCTTCAAATTTCCGGCTTTGGCATTGTCAAGTCGAAGCCCACTCGTTGGCATTAATTATAGTCTATTTGTTGAGCTCAATCATTGTTCATTGCGGTCGAAGATTGCTCTTTTCGATTGATCCTCCATCTTGAAAGGGATTAGAGATAATCATTGGTCATTTAATTATTTATAATCTCTTATTAATTAATATAGTATTATCTCTTGTAATTGTTGTAAATCTCCCATATCTTCTTTCATTAAAGTTAGACTAGAATTCTTATTAGTCTCTTATAAGGATGTTTTTACTTGGACTGTAGTTTGCTGGTCTGGTCTGAACTGGTCTGGTCTGGTAATGTCTGGTCTCTTTGTATTTTTATAACAATCCAATTCTTGTTGGTCTGGTTTGGTCTGCGACTGAAAACAGTCCAAGTAAAAACATCATAAG